GTACTTGCTTTCTCTTTGGTTTCCTTATTAGGCTGATAGGAAAAAAAATAGGACTACATCTAGTAAAGTTACAAACCTCAATTTATACAGTATGAGATATGCATTTAAATATAATGTGTAATTTATAATGAAAAACCAACTGCATTGTATTATGGCTTTCAAAATCAGGACAACTGGCTTTAAATTTTTTTCTCATTATTTTTATAGGGTGATGGTCAAAATCTTGTATTAGAATTAAACACACACAAACAAATACTGCAAATGTGATACACCCTAGGTACAAACCATCTGGGACCACTAGAGAACCCTTGAACAAATGACAAATCTAAAACTCTTAAGGTTCTTCACACAGGACCCAACAAACAGAACATATTAATAAACTCATGACAGGCAAACAAACTCCACCCACAACAGTGACTTTAAAACAGCAGAGGTTCCAGTTACTAGCATTACTTTTATCAAAGGTATACAGCATGGTCAATGTGATACTGTGACATGTCACTCAGTAATATTTTGACATTAAAATAATATAACATAAAAGGGGCAAGCTATTTCAATACCCTTTTCTGCTACTGATACAGCTCTGTTTTGGATTAAAGCAGAACCTCTGCTTAGGAAAAGCTAAGTCACTTTTACTAATAAATAACATCAGTTTATAACCTCTGAAAGTCAGTGTTAAAAATCAAAATCAGTGTTTACTTAAAAATGATTTCCCTTAACAGTTCCCTTAACAGTTTTACACAAATGAATTAAGTTTCATATTTGTCCTAATTCCGTTGCCTGTTTTTCAGCTTGGTGATCCATAATTTTAGGTCTACACAGGTAATACGCCCCAGTGATGCTGATAGTATAGGGATTCTACTTTGAAAACCACTGATTTGGCTTCTGTTTGAATACTTTCAATGATTTTATGAGGACAGGGCCTATTTTCATTTAGAAGTTCTCATATGGAACCTTAAATGTGGAACCAGAAACTTTCATTTCTTATAATTAATTTGTCTACCTAAAATAAGACAGAACAATTCTATTCCTTCTTATACATGGCCGTCACTCAAATGTCTGAAGAAAAACCCCCTCTTTATTTTCTCCAAAATAAATATCACCAATATCTTTGCATTCCACTCAAGCCTTTCTACATTCTGTCTGCCTTCCTATGAACACTACAGTTCATGTCACTCTTGATATGTGGCACTTACAATTTAACACAATAATATAAAAGCTTTAGTCTTAGTATCAGAGTGCATGTGGTTTATTACATCCTCTAGTCAATAATAATTTTATAATTACAGTAGACCTTTCAGCAACTGTATCACAGCACTTTTCAACTGAAAAGTCTCTAGACTGATACCACCCCTTGATGAAGTTTTCAGTGATCCAGAGTAAATAAGAAAAGAATAGTGGAGTAATTTTTCATCAATTTAAAGTCATTCAACTTAAGTTTAACTCTCTTTTATTCTAAGTTTATGTTTTTCCTAAATATGGAGGGAGTATGAGGGGGTCTTAAAATGATAGTGATGGAAGATGGTAGTTATTTTTTCAAACCCTTTCACAATTTCTCTTAACTCTGGTCTAGTGTCCTAGAATATGAAGGTAAAAAGGTTTATCTTATCAGGTAAAAAACTACCATCTAGGTAGCTAAGTGTTTAGAATAATTTATATAATTTTCAACAACCAATTACAACCTCTATTCTTCACTCTTTTGATTAATTATGGCAGAGAGGAAAGTTCCTAATCAGCTCTAGCAAATAAAAGGACTTCAAAATGCTTTAACACTAGTTCCTAAGAGTTTCTATGTTTCCCTTACCTACTTCCCACTTCTGTTTATAATCCTAAACAACATTCAAACCCAGCAACCAGACCATATATGGAAAATTAAGAGAGGGTTGGGATGACAGAAACTCACAACCATCTGTTGCAGTTTAAAATTACTAACCATCTAGGACAGAAAACTATAACCAGTGGACCAAATTCAGCTCACTATCTTTTCTGTGAAAATAATGTGTCAGTGAGTCACAGACACAATGACTTATTTCCACATTGTCTATGGCTGTGTTTGTGTTACAGTGGCAAAAGTGAATAGCTGGGAAGTAACTATATGGCCTGAAAACCCCAAAATATTTACTGTGTGGCCCTTTACACAAAAACATTTACCAACCTTTAATCTAGGATAGGGCTTACCTGGTGGGTGCAGTCGGTAAAGAATCTGCCTGCAACATAGAAGGCTACCTGCAGCACAGGAGACCTGGCTTCAATCCCTGGCTTGGCAAAATCCTCTGGAGAAGGAAATGTGCAACCCACTCCAGTATTCTTGCCTGGAAAATCCCACGGACAGAGGAGCCTGGCCAGCTACGGTCCACAGGGTCGCAAAGAGTTGGACACGACTGAAGTGACTTAGCATAGCACTGTACAGTTGGCCCTAAAAGACTAACTTTAGGATAATGAACTGTTTGCTACCAAAGAAAAATTTGAGATTTCCAACAATAACCGTTAACTAACTCAGGACACCTACTTTCTCTATTGGAATATCTAAAAGTTGGAATCTGAATGATCCTTTATTCCTACTCTGTTGCCATAAAGATTTGTTGCCCACCCAAGACAGAAAGCACTTACTTACCTGCTCACTGAGCTAAACTCTAACATACATTTCTCAAGGACTCACTATGAGAATAGTGAAGAATCCATAAATATACTGCTCTGTGCAATCTAAGGTTAAAAACAAGTTGCTGCAAGTAACTCAAAAGTATATTATAAAAAAGAAACTATAGAACTACATAAAATTTCCTTTACATTTTGTATTTCAAATAAAAACACTTTTAAAGGCACTTAAAGTAGGAAAGTTTAAGTTCAATAATTTAGGTAATATTAACTGCATTAAGTAATGCAAATTAACTTCCTTTTGTATTAAAAAAAGGATTTTCATGTATGCAGAGTTGCAATCAAAAGATAATACCTCTAATCCAATTCAATCATGTAGTTTTTTAAACGTAAGTGACATCGGAATCTCTAAAGAGCAAAGTCACAACATCAAAGAACTTTGAAACTGTAAAGTGTTTAACAGACTACCTCAGTATTTTACAGCTAAAGTTTCAGTACAATATGAAATATTTATGGTGTGACAAATAATTAGTGGCAGAGGCAGAGTTAGAAACCAACACTTCGCTATCAGCTTAGAACTCTTTCTACTTTGTGACTAAGTAAGAAAGATAAGCTCATTCCAGAAAAAAGTAATATTGAAGTACTTCGGATATTTAAATGTACAGTAAACATATTCAGAGGGCTATAGCCCACTCAACTTAAAAACCCTCTTGTGTTTTTTTTATTAATCAATCAACTATAAAATTACAGAAGGGAAAAAAATAATTTATAAAGCCACTCCTAATAGAAAGATCAAAAGAACAACCAACTATTTGATTAACAAATTGTCAATGATTAGAAAAAATAGTAATAGTGGAGTAGGGGCGGTATGATGAGTACTTATATATTGCTAATTTGGTACAATCTTTCTGAAGAGTAACTTGGTCATATTTTAAAGGGCTTTGAAAGTTCTCACCTAAATAGAACTAGTCTAATATAGAATTCAAATTTCACATACAAAGATGTCCATCCCACTATTTATAACTGTGAAATATTAGAAACAACCTAATATCCAAAGAGAGAACCGGTTCAGTTATGTTATATTCATACAATAGAATAATAGGCAGCCATTTTTAAAAATCACATTTTCAAAGACATGGGGAAGTACTTATGATGGTAGGTTATAAAAAGCAGGGTATACAACTATATGGTCAGCAAAATCTCAATTTTGTTATTATGCACACACACAAACACATATACACACCCATACATATAAATAGCATAGACAAAGATTGAAAGGAAATACAAAAAATATTAACAGTGTTATCTCTGGATAGTGAGATTGCAGATAATTTTTTTCTCTTCTTTATATTTATCAATATTTTCTAAATTTTCTGTAATAATCACGTATTAGTCTTATATCCAGAAAACATTAAAAATTTACTCTGTAGTCAATTTTGAAATTTTTATGGTCTATATAATAAATAAGGAATAAATATTTACAATACTCAAAAGTATATCTGAATGATGGGAAATAAATCAATAACATGTAAGAATATAGTTTCCATACATGTATAGGTGGGTAATTTTGAATCCAAAAGATTACAGTATTTCATCTCAGTTCTTGAGTATAGAAAGTTGGTATTTAGTAAGTAAGAAATGCAAATCTTTAAATAAAATTGGTGCAAGGCATCTAAAAATTGTGCTATTCTGGCATAACACTGAAGATATAAATGCTCTCCAATGTGATATAAATACCCAGTGTTATATTAAAATAGGTATAATCTAGTACATACATCATGGCCAATAATTAGCTAATTGAGTTACATTTTTTTCTGCCAAAGTGACTAGGATTGATCTAGGCTAAAGAAATACAACACCATACCATTATTTTAGTTGGAAGAGCCGCACCAAAAATCATGACAAAAAACATTGCAGAACTATAAGAAAATCCAGTGGTTTTCTGTTATTATTAATGACTTCTTGCTAAAAATTCAAGTAAGACAGTCAAATTGCTTGGAGCACTAAAAAAGCATAGCAGCAGTGTATGGTCTGCAATGATTTGAGAAACACTAAGAACATTCTTCACTGTTTCCTCATTTGCAGACTACTGCCTATCAAACACTATCTGAGAATTACGGAACCACATCTGTGTTCTTTACCAATCTTGAATTTATATTGTATTATAATATAGTAATGACACAAAGTGATGTCACACATAAAAATGCAAACTGTATGTAATTTTAAAAACTAACTTTAAAATATGACTCTATTATCTGTGATAAAAAAATCACATAAATATGTAAAATATAAAAATACATCCTAACATAGTTTTACATAAGAACTAAAGTTTACCACTTTTAACATAAAAATTCTGAAATGGAACTAATAAAAAACAATTTTTATATGTACCACAGAGCAATAAGTTTAAATCAGACTATTTCGAGTTGTGTAGCCCTTTATTAGCAACTAAAATAGAAGGTATCTGTTGTACAATATGGGTAGTAATTGACTATAACTGGAGAATTTTATATTCTATTACAGATCATTTATAAATGCAACTTCTTTATTAAAAAGCTTCCACCCTTTTTGTTTGTGTACAATTTGCAAAACTATTCTGAAAGCAGAGTATATGTGCACAAGTCTGCAAAGAGTGCAAATTAGGATATGGTAAATGCTTTACAAGTTACTTTCAAAAAACTGACTGCCACAACTGTGCCTTTACATTGCCTGTTTTTTTTTTGATCAAAATATTTTGATGCCAGCATTCCTTCCACTGCTCTAAACTATAAAGCATTTTTTTTTAATGAGTTGAAATTAAGGAAGGACTACACCTACTAGAAAAGAAGAGAAGAAAGTTCTATTAGTTTGAGGTTTCAGAATCCCCCCAAACCAGGACCAGTATCTTGGTAAGGGTTAGGCTGGGACCCTGGACAGAGTATGAGTATGTGCAGATGGCATTCCTGAGGATTCAGAGCTTCAGTGAACCGTGAGTGCTCCAGCTGCATAACTCACTGAACTGTCTTGCCAGTTTCTACACTGGCTGGACTGGGCATAATTCAAAAACGAAAAACTCATATTCATTCCATTCTTCTGCAGCTCTGTGATAGCCTAGGAAAAGAAAAAAACTGGTTATGACAGACATCACATAAAAAAGTGAGCACTCTCTAAACGCACTGGTAGCTTAACTTTGTTCACTTCACAAACGAAGCCTAGATCCCTCCCACTCTACGTTTCTTGGATTTCACATCACCTCATTTAAATAGGAAAAAGAAAGAATTCTTTATTTCATTCTCTTAAAGAACATATCCTAATCTAGCTTCTTGATAAATACCAGTCATCTTCCACTCTATCTCTCCCTGTATTTAATAAAGCCACTTAAAAAATAAAAAATTTTTAAAGCATAGTATCTTTCTCTCCATTTGCTAAACCAAACCTTGGCCACTTTCATCTTGAAATGTTGAGAGTCTTTTCTTTGTCTGACATTGATTAAATTTTAAATGTATATAAATGTATATACATATATATAAATGTATATAAATGTATATAAATTAAGTACCAAATCTAACAAGTATACCAGGAATTTAATCTAACTAAATTGGTTCATCATTTATTTTACTAAAATTTTACTTAGTGAAGTTTTATTTGATCCAATTCAAACTGCAGTAAATTAGTATAATTAGTCTTGTTTAAATTTCAGAGATCAATTTAAGCCCTTAACAGGCTCTTAGAGTCAATACTGCTTAAGAGGAGATCTTTCCTAAAAATCCACAATGTATTATCTTTCAAATTACAGTACAGTAACACTAGACCTTTAGGTTCCTAATGTAGTCTAGACTATTCTAGACTATTCGAGACTACATTACCAATTCCATTATTTCTCTGCCTCTCCAAACAATGAACCCATTATTCCTTCCTCTTTCCATTCCTGAGTACACATTTTCTTCTTTTTGAGTCTCACATTTTCTTCCAATTCCAGTCTTATTAGGGAAAAAATTAATGTTATTATCTCTTTAGAAAATCCAGCTAACCAAAAACATCTGCCTCTTTACCAGTCTTTAAATGAAATACTATTGTCTTCATTATAAGAAGAAAAACATACCATTTGCCTTGCTTTATTAAATTATCAATATCTAAAACTCAAGCACAGAATCTTCCATTTATTTTTTATGGAGTCAAGAACACTAAGCAAAACCCCCAAATTAGAAAGACCGTATCTCTTTTTTTTTTTTCCATTTATTTTTATTAGTTGGAGGCTAATTACTTTACAATATTGTAGTGGTTTTTGTCATACATTGACATGAATCAGCCATGGATTTATTTTCCCGGCTCCTTCCCCGACCATATCTCTTGAAAGCTTACTTTGGTTTATATTTGTAAAAAGCATACTGGAACTGGCTAAGAGTCAAGAGAAAAAAATGGATTTCGACTCTAAAAAACTCTATGTATTGAAAAGAAAATCTTGGCCAGTCATACAGTGATAAATAACCTCAAATAACCAAAACAATAAAATTTAAATTATCTTAAAGGTACTAGAAAGAAAATTGACTACATATACCTAAAACTAAAGCTAATAAGCTGTCACAGATGGTAGCAATTAAGATATTCTGAAACATAGTAAGATTAAATGTTTTCTTTTAAAAAAAAAACAACAACAACAAGGCTTCCTAAGGATACTCACATTTAATAACACCCCAATGGGATGTCTTCCACATATAGTATTATGGTATTTCTTCAAGTAATTGCTAAAAGATACAGGATCTAATTGTTCTATAATACTCATACCCTAAAAAAAAAAAAAAAAGAATGAAAGAAAAAAGGACAACTTATTATTTCCTAATTAAATTTAATTACATTTTAAAACAGCTACTTAAAGCTAATGATCATAATTTTTCAATAAAGAAAACACATTACTTAGTGAAGTTAATACTTCACTCATTCATCCAAGGTACTCTCATTATAGTCAACTCTCAACAATATACACATTTTATTAACAAAAACATTTAATCCCCAGTTTAGTTTTCTCTAACCTCCTGGGATGTTTCTACACCACCTTCCCCAGTTGTCACTCAGCTCACAAATCCTCAAACATTTCAGGATTTTATATTTTTCATATGTGTGTGTGTTCACACAAGATTTATACAAGTAAACCTGCTTGAAAATTTTCATACAAAATCTAAAATTATATTTGATAAATGGTTATTTTTCTCATGTCCATTATATTACTCATACCACTGACATAAATAATCAAGAGCCGATTATAATTTTACTATTTCCATTACATATACTTAAATATCAACAGTGTGTAAGGCATTTTAATTATCAGTAATTATTTAGGTATGTGATAAATGAGACCACAAACTAAGAAAATAGTTAATATATTTTTAATCAATTTAAAGCTCATAACAGACTGATAAAAGCTTAAGCAAAATAGGTTTTTATAAACAAGCTGAAAAAATAAAAGTTCTCTCTCTTATTAACTAGAATGCTTTGTTTTCAAATTTTTAACTGAGAATCAAAATTTTTTAGACTACTATTGAAACAATCACTATGATTTGGATATTTGTTTACACTTAATTCTGTATTCTGCAAATGCCTTCAAATGTGTTCATAATACATCGACATAGAGCAACTTAACTCATCTAAATCAAGCAAATAAACCAATGATTCTAAACTCATCCATTTACTTACTACCTGACCTTATTTTCTTACCCAGGTGAAATACTTTATACTTATGTTCAATAACTGGATTAACATCCTCTGGGAGAAATGTAAATTGTGGTTTAACTAATGAATCAAGTGACATAATTTAATTGTATTTCAACATATTTTAACAAGCACAATGTAAAAGGATCTATGATAATCAGATGAACACTCATCTGGAAAATGATAGCAATTAGCAAGTGACATAGTACAAATATTGCAGTGGCAACATTTAAATCAAAATTTAATTTTATAAAGAATCTTTCTTGAGAATATCCAAGTTTTTCATAAACATTATCATATTTTTCTACAAATATATCTGAAAGATAAGCCTATGTGTGTGCAGTCAACTTCCAACTTCTTGCACATCAATTAGCCAGTCTCAAATTTATCCACAACCAGTGTTTAATGCTAAGTTGGTTTTCTCCTGTCAACTAGGAGGCTTCCAGGTCAACATCCTCCTAGAGAGAAATATGAACTAATTTAAAAGTTAAACCTAAGATAAATGATTAGTATTATGATTTTTGTACACAGAAAATCACTCAATATGTTTCTAAACCAAATAATAATAGAGAGATGGAGTTATAAATCTCTTTCATAAATATGAATAATCAAGGTATAACTCCCTAAAGATGAGGAAACTATACATTAAAAAGGCTAAAAGTTTGTCTCTAAATTTCTAATCCTAGGCTCCTTCTCATTTACTTACTCTGCTTCATATAGAATAATGAGAAATATCAATAAATCTTTAATACTCGCACATAGCTACAAGTGGTATACATCTTATAATTGAATTTTCAAAGCTCCTGGATGAAGTCTAGGACAGTTTACCCTAAATCAGATTCCACTTTGTAATAAATTATGTAACATTAAAGGTACAATGTGTACCTTAATATTAAAATCTCAAAGCACACTGTGAATAAATATATCACATTTATATATATTAACATGAATAATTCAAAGAGAAAACTAATGATCATATTTGTAGAAGACAAAGAATTCAAAGTGGCCAAGAAATTTCACAGAGAAAATATAAAATTATAAAGAAAACACTACTAAATAAGGTGTTCAAAATGAAGATACAATAGTTAAATTACAAAACAGAAAGCAAAAAATTGAGGTAATGAAAGTTAAGAGATTAAATTTAAAATTTTAATTCCCTGAAGTGCATTATGTACCTACCAGGGCAAGAATCAATTTTATTACAGTCAATTCTCTGACAAATACAACAGTTAAGAGGTATGCCTTTTTACAAGTAAGGGATAGAGAGAAAAATTAAGGCATTTCTCTTGAGTGAACATCTCCAATTAGAAAATTCATAAAGTATGCAAAAACAACAAAAATGATCAGTAAAACTGCAAAATGGAACACCCACTAATTAACACAGAATAGTGACAAATACGCTTCTGTATATATTTATGTTTTGATTCTAACAATTTTAAAATACTATTACCAAAATTCAAAGATAAAAAATGCTAGTTTGATGCTACTGCCCAAATTCCAAAAAGATGAAAAAAAAGTGCTCCCCAAATATGCCTAAAGAACTCTTCTATTTCTTAAAATACTGGAAGAGACGATCAGTAAATCTAATGTCCAGGTGATGGAAAGCTTGGTAGGGCCTGGTATATTGAGAATTTGAACTTAATCTAATGTGATTAAGAACTTAATCTAATAGGAAATAGTGAAGTGGGTCACTACTCATTCAGCTCTAAGATACAAAAAGACATTATAAACACCAATAGCCTATCCATCACAATGACCATATGGGTTTCTGAGGAATTTAACAGTTTTGGCAAGAAATCCTCCGACTGAAAGCTAACTTCCTACCTTGAAGGGAAGAAAAGCGAAGGGAATCTATCATTGTGCTGACTTTCCAAGTAATAAGAGAAGTTTGTGATGTCAAAGCCTACATGGTCATCCTAAACTGAACAGGCAGCTCACCTAGCAAAGCGGCAATTTCAGGATTCTAATAAGGTAACAGAGGTCTTCCCCTTTTTAAAAGTCTACCTATATATAATAAATTACTTAAATTATACTTAATTTTAAGTACTATTACCTAGAAATAATCTCCCTCCAAAGAAACAAACACCAAAAAGAGTAGCAAAACATTTTTACAAGTCTTTGAGAAATAAGAACTGAACCGTATCTTTCAATTATTAACACATAACTAAAACTATATTATCATATCATTAAGCCTGTGGCCTTATTTTTTAAAATAAGGATACACATTTATGTTGGAGAGATGAGTACACATTTAGGAAGATGAGGTAGGAAAAGTAAATATTCTAGTTTCTTTAAGAGGTACCAAGATAAAATCTTATAATGAAAGAAATTTTAGAGGGGGAAGAAAACACTCTAAACACAGCAGTGCTAAGAACAAATGTACTAATAAATAGCCACCTTAAGGAAGACATTGTAAAACTAATAGCAACTACTAAAGAAATGACCAGGCTAAGTTCAAGAGAAAGAAGTGTGAGGGGACAAATATGAACAGTTTCACTTTCAAAAGACTAACAGGAAGAAAAGAAGTTAAAAGTTCAAAGTAAATAAATAAAGTGACTATTATAAATCTGGAGGAAAAGAAGTTAAAAAGATGACTACAATGACATGTTCAGATTTTCTTTGCCAATCATAAATGCCAATAGTCATAAGGAAACACTGGTCTACATTAAAAGCAGCACGGAAAAATAACCTACAATCAAATATACACAAAATATGTATAAATGTGACTGCTGTTTCAAGTATGTAATCTAAAAGGTTCACAGAAATCAACATCTTAAAATGTGCTCTGCTTTGGTCACTATACAAACTGAAATTGCAACGTGCTAATTACCAAAAAACATGGCCAGTAGTTAGTAATATTGTAAGGCTTTCAGAATCTACATCTCTTACAACTAGTTACTTTTTTCTTCCAAACTACAACATTTGAAAGATTCAGCTTGTTTTCCTATATTTTTCTTTCCTTATGTGTTTTCTTCACATAATTAATTTCCAAGATATCCAAATGCTAGACATACAATTTCTCCCGTCAAAAATCAGCTATTTTTCTTTTGATTTTGGAGCCTAAAAACTTTATTTTCTAACATTTTATTAACTACATTTAAAAAGACTTTTCTGATAACAAAAAAGGCATCAAAACTTAACATAACTTTCAAAAAAAACCCTACAATTTTATAATTTCTTATTTAAAAAATAATCTTTTCACTCTATCAAACTTTCCAAAGGTATAATTACAATTCAGAATTGCTAACATTTTTGCAATACTTGTATAGAAGTATCCTACTATATTCTGCTCTGAAAAGATTGATTTATAGAAATTATGGTATTAATTCTTAAATGAAAGAAATTATTTACAATATAAAATGATACTCATAAAAAGGAATATACTAGGATATTCACCATTTGGTCACATAAACCAATTAGGAAAACACACTGTGTAAGAGCTGGCATAATAGTGAGTGTATAGATACACATACATGTATAAAATCGTATATACATGAGTATATGTATAGAGCTAACCATTCTTATTATTTTAATCCATTTATTCTAACTCCCAGAATGGATTTATAACTTGAACTAACAGCATGCAAATAAAAAAAAAAAAAGATCACTTAAGAGCCCTTTAAAAATTACATAGACATATATTACAGAAGTGTTTTCAATAAATGGACCACAAAAATCAAGTTCAGGTCAAATGTTATCTCAACTATTAAATTCAAGCATATTAAAATGAAGTAAATACTCAATATTTATTCCAAAATTCTATTCCAGGCTATTTAAATAAAATTTTTAAAGCTAACCTCGATAATTTTGGACATGTAAAGTAAGGTAGATTTGGAATTCAACCTAAAGCTTATTGGTTCTACTGAACAAAAATTTCTAAAAGTTTCAAAGCCTAAGAAGTGAGCAGAAGAGGCAAAAATTTTCAGAAGTTACAAGAATCATGCCAATGAGTAAATGTGACTCTTTTCGCTCTTCCTCAAAGTAAGAAACTAGGGTCTAGTTATCCAACTAATCACACACATCAAGAAAGACAAGCAAAGCTAGTCCTTTTAATATAACCTAAAAACCAACAAAGTTAGAAGGCAGGCTAAAAGAAATGTTAAGTATAGATGTTTGTAATATACAGCATACACACAGAACAACAAATAATATTATTTAAATATGCCCTCTATTCTAGAAAATTCCAAAGGATGCTATTATGTTCAGGAACTTCAGAGTACCAGGTAAACCAATGTTTTAGGGAAAACATTTCCCTTGTGCTAAAAGCATCCATTCACTGATTGATGACTTCTTACATTTGCAAAATTAAATGCTGTCTGAGTAACAGCCCACAAATTATCTACATAGCTGAGTAGAAAACAAATGGAAAGAAAATGAATAGGAAATTCAGTTCTATTTCAACAGATCAGGATCCATAATAGGCTAGCTCCAAATCACCTTCAAAAGGGGATCCCCAGGAGCAGGCATGGGCAAGTCTATTTTGAGAAAGTTCCACAAGAGATTTCAGTTGTAAAGATGGGGTTGAGAATTACTACAGTAGACAATCCCATTTCTGCCTTGGCTTTGATTAACAACTACATGTTGAAAACTCCCAAACTTACTCCAGATCTCTTCTCTGAGCTCCAAACCAATACCGTTAATCCATTAGCAAAGCCCTGTTGAACACAAGAACTCAAATCTATGAACTTCTTTCCATCTTCACTAATACCACCCTGGTTCAAATTATTAGCATCTCTCCCCCAAACTCCTGCCAATGCCCACTGTTACTACTCCTGATTCTTTTGTAGAATCCATTCTCTATACAACCAACAAAGCAACCTTTAAAATAATTATTTTTATTATTCCACCATTTCACTTCCCACTGTATTCACATAATTTCCTGTCCTGGAAGTTAGAGCCCTAAATTATCTGATTCCCTGCCCACCTCTCTTACCTGAGCTGTATGATTCTTATCCCTCTCTCCTCTACTCCTACAACCCTGACCTTTTCCCCTTTCTTCTAACACACGAGCCTCTTCCCACCCTAAGGCTGTCACAATGGCAATTCTGTCTAGAAAGTTCTTCCCTCTGATCTACTTAGTTTGTTCCTTCTTATCATTTACACCTCAATTTAATGTTCCTCCTCAGGAAATCTTTTTCCAAATATTCAATCTAAAGCAGCCTAGAATTATACACTTTTTCAAAACCCTATTAGTATTTTCTGCATAGCACACATCACTTTTGGAAACTAACTTATATACTATATCCTTAATTCTTTAAAAAAAAAAATGTGTCTCCTCCAGATAGAATAAAATTTTCAGTGAGATCAAATGAGTTTATTTATTGCCTTATTTTCACCAGTGCCTAGAACTTTAAATGCACTCAAAAATAATTGGTGAAAAGAAAATCCAAATGCCTACTTGCCTGCCATCTCCACCTGGATGCCTTGCTATTTGTAATAGCAAATATAACATATTCCTAATATTTGAATTTATGATCACCCTACCATGGGAAAAAAACTAGTCCTATCTTCTCATGATTCTGACCTAAGTGAACAGAACGAAGACATAACGAGCAGCATAAGCCACATAATTAAGAAACATCCTTTTCTTTTTAATTTTTAAAAGATTTTTTTTATAAATTACACCCCATATACAATTATTACAAAATACTAACTCTATTTCCCATGTTGTACAATACATCCTTATAAGCCTATCTTACACCCTATAGTTTATACACTCCCCGACCTATGTTGCCTCTCACCTCCTCCCCACGGGCAACCACTAGCTTGTTCCCTGTATCTGTGAGTCTGCCTCTTCTCTGTCATATTCACTAATTTGCTATATTTTCTGGAAGGAGTTACCCTTGACACTTCCTTCTCCCCCAAGTTTTATCATCAGTTTGTCTCTAAAATATACTGGCCACATCCACTCTGTCCCTCTCTTCCCCATCACCAACCCAACCAAATCACCATGTCTCACTTGGATTATCAAACTCATCTACTCATTTCTCCTCCGGCCTCCGTCCAACCCATTTGCTGCAGTACAGCTATACGATCTATTCACATACAATCTGCTTTATCACTTTCCTATTTGATACCCTTTAAACAGCCTGTTCTAGATTCTCCAGTCTAATTTCTCACTCTCTCTCATCCATTCAGCCATTGATCTGACAGATATACATACCAAGTACCACAAACAGGCTGATACAAAACAAAGATCTTGATCTCATGAAGCTTACAATCTAATAGAGGAGGTTTTCACCAACAAATCAACAAATAAAAAGTCACACAGTAATAAGTACTAAGAAGAAAAATAGAACAGGGTAAGGTTTTACACTGAGTGACTGAACAATAAAAGGTCTTAGAATGGTAGATTCCCAGATTGCTCAGTAGTAAGGAATCTGTCTGCCAGTGCAGGTTCGATCCCTGGGTCAGAAAGATCTTCCCTAGAAGGGAAGATCCCCTGGAGGAGGAAATGGCAACCCATTCCAGTAGTCTTGCCTGGAAAAATCCCATGGACAGAGAAACCTAGCAGGCTAGAGTCCATAGGATTGCAAAGAATCAGACATGATTGAGCACATCATAGAAAGGTCTTAGAATAACTGTTTACCACAGGGGCCTAGTGGGAAATTGTGGGCATATTTCTAGGTGCTCAGATGCTCCATCATGTCCAACTCTTTGCAATCCTATAGCCTATAGCCCGCCAGGCTCCTCTGTCCAAGGAATTCTCCAGGCAAGAATACTGGAGTGGGCTGCCATTTCCTATTTTAGGATATCTTCCCAATCCAGGGCATATTTCTAGGTTGTGTCAATAATCAGAAGATGCTACTGGGGGGTTTAGAGGGTGGCAACCAGGGATGCTGACCGTCCTGCAATACAGGACAGTCCCACACACAAAGAACTGCTCTTATCCCTTAACACTTTTGTATGTCCACATACGAGAAAAACCTGCTTATAATTATCTACACTCTTAATACCACTTTACATACAGACACAAAGAAGTTTTGCATAATTTTAATATACAATAGATTTCCCAAAAATAAACTATCACATAAAGTGAGGGAAAACTATACTTTGTTTAATTTACAGTTTTCCTAAGAATTATTCACCATTTTAGAATTGGTGAATTATTCACTCACCAATGCAACTTGGTAATGTAAGTCACAAACATAAACATCTTTAAATAGATGTTTGTGTGCAGCTGTTGAATTAATGATACTCTGTAAGCATCTAACCACTCCACTGTCTCCTCCTGGAATACAGCTACCTGGGCATGCACATTATCAAATAAACACGTATTAATTTACTATAAATTACTTTTATTTTTATTTATTTCTCAGATTACAATTAGGGTATTTGTTTAATTTAATTATGTACACAGAAAGAATATATTCACCAACTCAAATCATTTGAAAAATATTTGCTGGGCCCCTACCTACGTTTCAACAGCTAGTCTGAGCACTTTGGATACATTAGTAAACAAAACATATATCCTTACATAATAAATAAGTGAAATATTTAATTTCTTAGCGGAAAAGTAAGGTGGACTGTGGATGCTGAAAGGGTGGAGTGTAAGATGTGCCAGTAGGCCTCACTGGGAGGGTGAAAACTGAGCAGTCATAAAGTAAGTGAGACAGTCCAGTGCAAAGGGCACAAGCTCTAAGCTAGGGCACATATATGGCATTACTGGGCAACAGTAAGGAGATGGGTGTGTCCATAATGCCTCCTAAACATCTTATGTCTTTATATTGTAATGGTTTCTTTTCTAAGTCTACGTGATGATGAGACTGTAAGATCGATTAAATCAGAGACCATGCTTCCTCTTCTTAGTATCTTCAATACTTCATATAGTATTAGAATATAGTAGACACTCAATAACCATTTGCTTTATGAAGAAAATAAATGACATAGAACCAGAAAAGTTTTCTGAGGCAACTGAGAACTAAACCTCAGAATAGCAAGATTAGAATAGTAGCCAGAAAAGAATTAATTGACTGACATGACAATATAATAAAGCGAAAAAAAAAAAAAAAAAAGTCAGTGAATTAAAATTCAAACAAAATTTCAAAGGCAAAAGTATTAGGCTATAATCAGATTTAAAGTAACATGATAAATTTAAATATGATAAAATCTCCTGAGTAACTGCATTTATTCCACTTGGCTTTTAATAAAATAATATTACTCAATAGAATCTACTTATAGCTTCAGATCCAAAATCCTTACTAAAATGCTTTTCTATTTTAGACTAAATATTCTTATATTAAAACATATCCATAAAGCTTATCACAAACAGACTACAGAGTTAAAGGTTGATAAGGGTTTAAAGATAATTTAGAGACTAAGTCTCTCATTTTAGAGATGACAAATTGAGGACTAGAAAATTGAAACAATCTGTTGAAGATCAGAAAAAATTAGTGATATATTTCCTAGATTTATTATTCCATTATGAGTCAATACCAAAATGATCTGCATGTCTCTAAAACATTAAATATTAACTAAAATATTAAATACTAAATAGTAAAGCAAGTACTCTGACCACCCTACCTCAAGGAAAACTTGAGGTTTTGACTCAATAATCTGCAGGATATTTTGACTGCAGATTTTGACAATATCTGCAGTTTTGACTGCAGGATCAATGTCTACTATATTCCTGGGCTAGTAAAGAATACAATAATGTTTTAAAATTCTAATTTAAAACAAATCCAAATTCCATTTAAGAAAAACCCAAATAGCCAAAAAATAGAATTAAGTAATAAAATAAACTTAGAATTTACTATGGTTGTCTCTGCTTAACAGTAAGTAATGGCATTAGTATCCTATTATCCCTAAAAACAAGACATTCCCCAAAGAGTATCTAAAATCTGTATCTAATTATTCAAAGTATAATTAATCAAAATTAAGATGAAGGAAATCTCTACTAATAGAACAGGGATTATTTTATAATCAATATTACATGATTACAATATATATTTTGCACATTTAAAGATAGGGAAATTATCAGCCCACTGTATACCTTAACTTAGTAAGTCTTGAGTCACTAATCTGAAATTAAAGAAAAAAATCTTAGAGCAGTAAAACCCCACACCTGAAGGACTTACCATTTTATCTAGATGTTCAATGGATCTATAAATCTCCCCCTGGGATTCATCATAGTAACTGTAACGGAACCTTTGACCTTGAAACAAATATCATGTACAAAATAAAATAGGGAAAAATTAGAAGCTAAAAAGAAAGCAAGCGCTTACCAAATAATTTCAGTTCTCATGGAAGGCAAAGCACAGCTTAAGCCTCTGAGAGAATGATTCCCAAGAGCCCTTGTATGAAAAATAAAAGGCATATTTGGGAAGGTAATAAAGAAATGATATATCACCAGTGTTTTACAAGGTTAAAAACTATTTCAAACTGTAAAACCTTAAAGTCACAAGCAATACAAAAGACTAAGGAAAAACAGTTTAAAAGTTAGAAGCATTGTTAAACATATCATATCGGTCTATAATGGAAAGTAAACCCAAAGAATATGATTCAAGAAAATCTGGCTTAAGGAAACTATCTCAATATAACAAACCAACGAAAGCTTGGCTTTTGTTGTACAAATGCAAAGATTTAATCTCTACTACAGAAAAAAAAAAAGTCAGAGATATATGTGGCTTGTATAATTTTTATGATCTAAATTTTAAAAATTTATGTCACTGTTGCAAATGCTAGAAAAGGATTAATACAAGTGCCTTTAAGTAGGATACACCAAAGTATAAATTTAACAAGTAGTTCTACTCTGACAATAAAATCTCAGTGAGGGTACAAGCACAGAACAGTCAATGTTTAGTTATTCTCCAAAGAACAGAGAGGGTAAATGGAAGAAGTTTAAAAAGGGAGAAACAAAAGGCTCAGGAAGTGAATTTTGCTTCCTACTATAGTCACATAAAAGCCAAAAGTTAAACATATTCATAATTAATTAGATTATTATTCAACTGATTATGTTGTATTTCAGATATATCAAAACTTGTTTTTCAGCAATGCCTTTATTTTCAAGAACTCATTATTTTTATATTCCTTATTTTCAAAGATGCACCAAAGTGCAATTCTGAAGGCATTAGAGTGCACTAATCGTGCTCACACATACCATGCATCTTGTGCTGAAATTTTATAGCAAAGTTCACATAGCCAATTATTATCCTCGCATCTGAGAAGATGGGTTTCTTTGACTGGATAATTATGATTTTTAAGTTCTCTATTTATCTCACTAAAAAATATCATCTTATAGATCACGAGCTATGTAAAATTATAAAACCCTTTGGATGTAGTTTTTGAGAGAAACCACACATCACAGTTTTTAACATTTCATTAACTTGTTGATGCTAATCATCTCTGATAGTCACCTTTCTACAATATACCATATTTCCTTAGCTTTCACATATTCACTTTTCACATACATTAACATGTACAACTACTCAATGTGGCAGTTCTTATCCCCCCACCCCTCCACCGAGCACCATTATTAAATCAATATTGCATCTTACAATTCATGATATCCTAGAATCAAGTAATAGGGTTATGAGACAATTACCTGCATTTTGAATATTAACAACCTTTTCTGGTAAACACTGGAGATTACTGTATGTTGCTATAACTATCAGATCTATTACAGTCCTTGAACTAAAAAAAATTCTTAAACAGTGACAACTCTATCACTCAGCATCTCTATATTAAACAATTCATCAGACACTTCCTTCAAAACTGAGAGTTAGGTACAGCTTTGTTTTTCTTTAAAGAATATATGTACTTACTCCTACCTAACACGCATTATATAATTCACCCTATTTTTCCAATTTGCCAGGTGGCTCTCAGAAGGTTCAAAGCCAAATCTAAAGTCTATCGTAATAACTTACTGATTCAATTCACTGATACTAAATTTCTACTTTTATTTCAAAGTTCTTTTGATAAAGCTGCCCCACATCTTCTGTGAAATGAGTAAACAATCAAATAAACAATCCTGGACAAGAAAAGTCTAACTCACTGTCACTGTAATCAGAGTAATATTCTTGGATGAAATCAAGACGTATATTCTTTGAACCTGAGCTGCTTCAGGTTTATACTAATACATTCTCTTTTTCTTACTTCTGATGATAACTGTTAGTTTTAGTTGTCAAGAATCCCTGTTACTGGGTCATAACTGTCTTATCTCAAGATGGCCACTCTCAAGTGCAGAGAAAAATGTGTGTACTTTGTGACATTTGCTATTCAAAAGTCTTTTCTACTTATTTTCAACTTTAGAGCTGCTGTTTCAAATTGCTGAAGTTGGTTAAACCTGCCCTAACCATATGTCAAAAGTGTAACTATTTTTAAAAATGCTATCTTATTCATATGGACCATTTTCAATGAAACTTTCACTTAAAAATTACTTCTGAGGACAGAAGTACACAGAATGTTTAAAATAAGTTAAAATACTAAATCAACATGTGATTTAATAAGAATGACAAAATACAAAGAAAATCAATGAGTAAATGTTTTAATATTTTGCTATTTTTTGCTGTGTTTTAGTAGCCATCTCGAATTTAGTAGCTGAAGAACTGAGTAGAAATATTTGATAAGCATTAAAGAATTTCCATTAAGAAGCTAAATTCACACTGCTATAGCTACTACATTGAAAAAAGTATCTTACTTGTAACAGCTCAAACTGTCTCATGATAATTTAATTATACAAACATTTCAAAATTACTTCAGTAATTCATTCTGGTCAACATACTTAAAGAAAGCATCAAATTTAAAAGTAAATAGTTGCCATTATCCTAGCCTAAATGCATTAACATGTACATATGTATGTATGCATATACATGTGCATGCACATGAGTACATACACATAACAAGTTTACTTAAACACCCTTTGGAATTTGAATTCAAAAGATTTTTTGCTTCTAATTATGAAAATAAAGTTTATCAAGATTTATTTACTAAGAAATAAAAGAAACAACACTAACACAATACACTGCTCATTAATGCACCTTCAAATATTATTCATTTAAAAAATATTATGATTTCATGTACCTCATGAGTTTTGTTTTACAGTATTTCTAACATTCAGTAAAGCTTATGCATCTAAAGTGAACAAACACGGTTGCCTATGCACCTGGAGAACTGGACATGTGAACTTTTATATAAGTATGAATTAAGCATAGTAAGAGAAAATTACTTACCTGAAACTTATCCTTTCAGAAGGTACACTGGGAAAATGGATTCTTTGAGCCCCTGTTTCAACTCCAAGTATGAGCTTTCTAGCTTTAAGAGCCATTGACCCTGCCCCTAGGGGCAGCACAAGCTTTGGAACTCCCCTAGTGAGTATGTCAGTAGTTTCTTCAGGTGCCTTCCCTCAGTTCTTTTCAAATTCAAAAGATGAGAGGAAAAATAACCCAAGAAAAAAATCCTGTAAAGCAGAAACCTTACTCTTTGAGGGAAGGAGGGTAGCTCATTTGTGAATCCATTCCAGAGCACGCTTTCTGAGAAAAAGAAATACAGGTAAGTAATTTTCCCATCTCCAAAGGTGACTGGTGATTAATGAGTGGATTCACAGAGTGTGGAGAATAAGCTCCAGGGATGTCTGTTTAACACACAACAATCAACTAATGAGGACAAACATAACAATGAATGGTACAAGAACCAATACTACTTTTGAAATACCTCAAAACAAAAAATAAAAAAAAAAAATATTAACTATCTCAACATTAAGCTATATACTAGATTGCAGAAATAAACAATGAGCTTGGAAAGTTGTTCTATAAAGCCCCCAAAAGATCAGTGAGTAAGACAGACTTCCAGACGTATGTCCAGGAAAAACTGTACTGTTATACATTTACTTAATCACTTTATATGTTTAAATATTTGAGTTCAACCTCACAACACCTGTGAGATAAGACTATTAGATCATTCTACACTAAGGACCTAAACTAGGGGCATTTAATAGAAATCACTAGCAAAGAAAAAATGTTTCATAGAGAAAATATTATCTAAGTAGCATCAACTAAGGTATTCATTTTTATAAGCAAAATACTATAGTCCTTTCATTCTGAAGTCTTAGCTATAATGTAAAATTATTGGCTTTATCTCAAACCCACAAAAGATCAAAACCCTAAATATGTGAAATCACTATGTACCAATATTTGAGAAGACAAATATGATATCTTGAATATCTTGAATAATTCAGGAATTAGCTAACCTAAATCAATTTAAATATTTAGAATATAGTAATACCATCATACCCAAGAGACTAACAACAGAAAGGGAGAAGAGTATGAATAATCATATACTAATACATATTAAACTAGAAATGCCCATTTTAATAAGTAGCATATATTTATTAAAAATTATGTAAATATACAAATGCAAGTTTACAGATAAAACTCCAAACCTGCTGAAGTGACTGCAGTATAAACCTTATTCATATTTTAACAAAATAATTTATCATTAACTTTTACCAAATAAATTTACTGAAACTGATTTGAAATTAAAACTATCATTTAAAAGGAAAATTATTTAATAAATAGAAGTGTGAATCCACTTTAAAGAATCAACTTCTGTTAGATCCAGTTTCATTTAGAAACTTCTCAGAAGTTAACTGAAAGTTATGTTAATGAAAGCTGTCAATAATCTAAATTTGAAAGTATAAAGTTCGGGATGATCAGGAAAAAGCAAGTATTAACAGAATATATGGAAAAGAGCAAAAATAAAACTCAGGAAAACAGAATACAAATTCTACCAACTAGAAAAACTAAAAAGTCCTGACAACAGACAAAATTCTCTATAATGGAGCCATCCAACAGGATGTGGAACTTGGTAAGTGCACAATGCATGGGGACAGCATTAGTTAACCATGATAAAAGTCAAAAACTAGCAGCAAATGTCCTTTCGCTTATGTTACTATTCCTGATATTTAAACGTTATCAGAGAAACACCATTTTGGCCTCCCAAAAAGCAGGGAGATCCAAATGAGGGGACAGAAAGACAGGGCACAGTAGAATCTAGGTTCCAAACTGTCCCTTTGCTTGTCTCATCCAAAAAGAAAAATTGAGAGTATTTTAATCTATTTTTTCTCTTTCTCCAATCTCTCTCTCAAGTGTAAACAAGAGCTAAGTGGAATCAGAAAGATGAACATCTTTAAAGCAAACCACCCCTTTAAAAAAATAATTTTTATAATGGACATTGGCTAACAAATAAGGTTGACAAGGCAAAATCCTTCCAGTTACACACATATAGGTCTCTCAACTGTCTCTATCATCAAATTTTTCATTTTATTTTTCACAGAACCTGGACAGTATAAAAAGAGAAACAACCACCAGAAATAAAGATATCATTACTACCAGTACTCTAACATATTATTCAACAAAAACAAAAAAAAAATTCCAGTGTATATATCTGAGCAATTGGTCAACTGTACCATAATCAAATGACTTCTCTTAAAAAAAAACAGCTATTCAGAAATGTGAAGTGTGTTAAGAGCCTAACTCAATGAAACTTTTAAGATCTCTGAGTACTTGAGAAAATTAATCTTTCCTGTGAAATGATTTTGAATTCAGTGTTATCATTACTTAAGTACGATAAAATCAATCCGCATGGTATCATTAAAATAAGAAGAAACTAAGTATTGTAGTCATGAGAAAAGGCTAGATTTTTGAGCTGGAAATTACTGTTCATTCATATAGGAAAGAGGACCAATGCCACTAGAGCATGAATTTGAAAAATATGAAATTTAATTTAAGTAAACACAGTTTAATCCATAACTAGCCAACGATTCATATTATTTCAGTAAGCACGTAAAGGAGAAAAGGAAGCTTACTTTACAAGAGTGGCCGTCACCATTACAGTGTAGAAAGGAGTCTACCAATTTTGGAATAGTGTCCATGTAACTCTTTCCACTTACACCCAAACCTCCATCAAATTTCCTAACAAGAATTAGTACAGTGCTTTCCATAAGTACAAAATAAGCATTTAATTAGTATTATTAGCGACAGTTATACTGAAAAAATAAACACTTGGACAGGTTCAATTACTTAACCACTAATTGTAAATATAAATATGTTTTAGTCTGCTGACAATTTCAATAGCTAACATTTACCAAAATTTGGAAAGTTTGACTTCTTTTTTGTAATTATAACCAGAAAATTTGATCCTGCGATTTAAATTCCAAAATTTTCAAGAAATCAGTAGATTAAATGGCCTAAACAATTTTCTGAAGACGTAAATAGATACAAAACAAAATTTGTTTTTCTCTCTCAACATTCTACTTAAATACAGTAGTGGACTAGGATTTTCTTTATAATCATCAATGAGGTAAAAAGGATGAGTTCAAACAAAAGCAACATTAAAACATCTACTCGTCTTTTAAGTGGATTTATGTTGTGATTGTACTATACCAACCTTGAGGGAGAGTCTAGGCCCTGAAGAATACTATCATATCAGGGAAGTGAATTATTTAAGTCATGAAGTGATTTTAAACAATTCAAAGAGCCTTAAAAGTGAAGAGGAAGGGACACATGCTTTAGGAACTTTCAATTTCTAAAACATGCTTTATTCATAATGCTAAGAAAATTGCTTTCCCGCCAATAATGATATTCCCTAGTTTTATTACTAAACTTCAAAATCCCCAAAAAAAGAACCCCTTCAGATCTAAGTAATACACTTATATCCATAAAAAATAACTTCTGTCAAAGGTAGCAAACCAACTAGCAAATAAAATTTGTTATTAAAGAATCCTGAGAGCCTTTTAAGGAATTTGGCAAGGTAGCAGACAGAGCTACCTGAGTACCCTAAACTAGGGTTTTCAACCTCAGCACTATCAACATGTGGGCAAGATAATCTTGTACATTACAGGATGTTTACCTAACAGCTTTGCTGGACTCTACTCATTAGATGCCAATAGCATCCCCACCTCCTCCCCACTCCAGCTATGAGGACCAAAACTGTCTCCAGGCTTTTCCAAATGTCTCCTGCGGAGATAAGCAGCCCCAGCTGACAAATCAGTGATAAAATATTTATCTATACCATTAGTGAGAATGGTTCTCTTGAACTGAAATCTCAAGGCCACACACAGTGTAGCATGACGTAAGAGAAGAAGAAACCAGCCTATCCATGCCTGATAAATGGTGAATCAACTCTGGCAATCAATGACAAGACATGCAAAGTCCAGGGCTCCCTATAGCTCATTAAGGGTGTTTTTCTGCCCATTATGTAGCTTAAAATGTATGGTGTTGTGCCTTATTTTTTCACCATAATCAAAGAAACAACTGAAGAATGAACAGATATTGGCATCCTTAAACTATTAAATCAATGAGTCAAAGAGTGTCCTAAAAGGAATAGGATTCAGAAACATTCTATCACAGTAATGGATAAACAGAACAAACTGTATCCAAAGAATTCAAGAAAAAAAAATTTAACTAAAAGAGGCATCCATAAACATCTCACTTCCTTTATGATCTATTCACTGTGAAGATTCCTTATTTTTTTTAATTCATAATAATAACAAAAATCTCTTCGAAGTTCTTTTCCTTATGAACCAGTGAAAACCACAGCGCTAGTAACTAACGTGTTACAATCTTTGGAGGATACTTTGGAGGTATAATCTTTGGAGGCAACTATGAGCAAAAATTAAGCACCAAAGGCAAAAAAAGAAAGAAGAAAGGACTAATTACAAAAAAAAAGAAAAAAAAAAGAAATGTGGAGCAAGACTGGCATAGCACACAGTGCTCTTCTTCGTTCTAAAGAACATTTGTTTTATCTGCCAAAAAACTAACTTCAGAGAATCTATCACACAGCTCTACCTAGAAATGAGGTTAAAAGATCTTAACTCCTACTAACATAAGTGTCTAAGCAAGGATGCCCTCACAGTGTGAATCCAATTATACCAGTCGCCTTTGGAAATGTATCTATAATCCCCTATTACAATCTCATCCTTTTAAAATGACCAAAAGAGTTTTTCATTCACCTTTATATATTATTGCTAAAAGTTTAACTTTCCAAGGAAAGTGATAATAACTGAAGATCAGAGCTTAGAAAGAAAAGATACCTTTAACCACAAGTACATAATCTCTACCATGAAATGTTAAAATCTAGAACTTACCCCAATGGCAGAAATCAGAAGAAACCACAAAGAGATTACTAGGATCCGCTAGGTATTTACTGAAGAGTTTTCCGAATTCCTGTTCTTTTGACTCACTCAGAGCTCCAACCAATACAGGAATAATGGTAAACTCATCCTTATGGCTTAAAGAAAACAGAAGAAAAAAAAAAGTCATTTAAAAAATATAATAAAAATAGGTTTCCAATGCTTGGCACTAAAAAGTGGAACATTTATTAACAGTGGTATGGATAATATACATAATGCTGTTGAATCCTTAAAACCTATAAATTAATATTTAAAGAAAACCATTTAAAAATGAGAGGTACAGAATATTAAAAATATCTGTTTAAATTACAGAAATGTACAGTAGTTCTTTAGGTAAAGGAGCTCGGTAAACAAGGCTATTTTACTACTAACAATATCATCAAATATAAAAGTAACCTCATCAAACCACTATCATCAATCTTCTCAACTACCCATAAAAGCTACAATCATCTCTGCCCAATGCTTCTGCAGTTTAAAAGAGCATTAGATTCTTCCTTACTTAATTCTGATTGTAAACACCACCATTTCTGGCACTAGCTCTATAAACCTGCCAAGTGAGACCCACAAAACTTATCTTGGCTCCCAAAAGATTCACCAGCTGCACCTCACACCTAAACTAATTAAACAGATATAGGACAGTCTGAAGATACAACTCAAATTTCACTGGCATCTAGGATGGACATAGAATTCAAGAAAATAGGTATTAATTTCTGGCAGCAAGAAAAAGATACCACGCCCATCCACAATGTCTACAGCATATTTACACTTTTTCACTCTACAGATTGAAAGAGTATGGAAAAGGAACAAAGCGAATTAAGAATAATTGCCGGGCTACAGAAACAGACCTTTAACATTTTCATGTGGTGAAATTTAACTTACATATATTCAGTACTATTTATATTCTAAATGATCCCAGAGTTGACATTTTAGAAACATGACTCATGCTTGTCTGACTTGTTCTGAACAGGACTTAATAAAAAAAATCTTATAATATATGGTTTTTAATATGATAATTTGGCACTTAATTGATGTAGGACAAACAGAATTTATAGAAGGGTCTGTAAAAAAAAAAAAAAAAAAACAACTAGGTTTAAGTATTACCAAAATAAATGTTAGCTCAATTTCATAAAGCTAAATTCAGGGCACCCAAGCGCCTCCCCCAAAAAGGCCCCCTTACCCTTGTCAATTGCGAAATAAACAGATCATACAGATCTCCAGTCCCTCTGCAATGCAGGGGCTTCTTGGGCAGAATCTGCATCTATGGAGTAAGAAAAAAACAGGAAGCTGGCAGAGGAAGCTGCCATGGGATATCTCTTTCTATGATTCTTACCACTGTGCTTCACAACTGCGTGAATGAATAGGGGCTTTTCAGTAAGGTAAGAGTGATTATCAAATGAAAGAAAAGAATTTGTATGTACTCTAGCAAAAAATTCAAGAAGATTGTTATGAGTTGTTCTAACTTCAAGTACTACCTACATAAATAAAAACACTAAGATCATTAAAATGACACAGCAGGGAAGCAGAGTATAAAAAACAAGAAGTCAGAAGAAATGGGTTCAAGCATTGTTTCTATCACATACAAACAAATGATGAGTGCAGAGGGAAGTTACTAACCTAAAAATTTATCTTATTTGTAAAATGATCATAATTACAATACCTAATTCATAAAACTGTTACAAAGTGAGGAATACTGTAAGCAAAGTACTTCGTCAGTGTTGGTTTTCCCTGGAGAAACATCACGAGTCTACTCTTTGAGAGCCACCAAACCACCCAGTTAACCTCAGTCTGAGCTATCTACACATGGGCAAAAGTCTCATACTATGGAGAAATTCAACCTTTGAATCAAGATTCATCCATCCACCTCTCTGTCATTTCACTTTTCAAAAAATTATTGTTACTATTGTTCTCTATCCCCACAAAGCATAAATCAAAGAAGACAGCATTTGGCTTTGAAATGTGATATTCCTACAAAAAGTTCAGAACCCAAGTTGTGAAGCTCGTCTTCCCTAGCGAAGGAATATAAAATTCCGCCCTCAAACAATCATAAAACTGAATAAAACTGTCCAAAAAACAACCATTTTGTGCTCTGAAAATCAAGCAAAGACTGAAAAATACAATGAGAAGAGTTAATTCCTGAAAAATACAATGAGCTTTTTGAGAACAGTGCAAGTCTGACATCTTACCAGGAACTGCCTCTATCCTCCCTCCAACATTACGGTAAATGCAAGGTGAGGCTTGCCTCGCTATGAAAAAACCAGCAGCTTCGCTGTTGAAGGAGGCTGACTTTGACTTGGGGCAGAGAGCAGAATACCCACACCCAGCAGGAAACAGAAAGTCCTGCCACTTTTGTAGCCTGAAATGACCACACCATTTGAGGCAAGCCACAAACCTGAGGACTACCTAGAAATCTAACAGGGAGGTCCTGGGAAGGAGAGAGCCATATAGGGACAGGATAAACTCCCATGTTCTGAGAAGATGCCCTGGCTGAAGAGGAGGCAGCACACGTGTGCAGGGGAGGTCCAGAAGGCTGAAGCTCCCCCCAGACGCCAGGGAGTCGGGAGGGTGGGAGCAAGCACAGAGGGCAGGGCAGCCCAGGGACAGCTCTTAGGGTCCCTGGCTGCCCGGAAACAAGGATGCACAACAGCACAGGGAGACCAGAGAACCCAAGAGAAAGCAAAGGAGGCAGACGCGCAAACTTCTAATGTTCTCCCCAGACAGTCATGGCCCCCCAGCTCATGGTGAAGGCTATATAGGCTCATGGTATTTAACACAACTTCCAAACAAACAGTAGCTAGCACTAAGCAGTGTAGACACCAGGGTGAGCTCTAGAAAGTCGAGGTAAAAACGAGTAAGAATGTTTTAAAAGCTGAGCAGATGCATCAGCAGCCAAACCCTGTGACAAAGATTCTGCAGACAGTCTATGAAAGGTCCTTTTTTTAAAAAATGAGGGCTTCCCTGGTAGCTCAGTGGTAAAGAATCCACCTGTCAAAGCAGGAGGTGTCAGTTCAATAGCTGGTCCAGGAAGATCCCACATGCCTCAGAACAACTAAGTCTGTGTGCCACAACTACTGAGCCTGTGCCCGGAAGCCTGGGAGCTGCAACTATTGAAGCCCGCATACCCCAGAGCCTGTGCTCCACAAGACAAACCACTGCAATGAGAAGTCCACACACCACAACAAACAGCAGACCCTGTCTGCTGCAACTAGTAAAGCCACGAAGACCCAGCGCAGCCAAAAATAAATAAATGAATGAATGAAACCACCACTACCATCATCTGAAGAAAAACATTAATAAAATTACAATAAAGTTGCTATAATATACTGTACTATGTAAAAGTTCAGTTTCAAGGAAAAAAAAATTCTGAGTCAAAGAACAAAGAAACTGTAACCCATTCCTGGAGGCAAGGAGAGAGCTAGCAGAAGTTGTACAAGTGGAATCAGACAGATATTAAGAGTTATGTGCTCACTCAGTCGTGTCCGACTCTTTGCAGCCCCATGGGCCGTAGCCTGCCAGGCTTCTCTGTCCATGTAATTTTCCAGGAAAGAATACTGGAGTGGGGTATCTTTTCCTACTCCAGGGGATCTTCCTGGCCCAGGAATTAAACCCACATCTACTACACTGGCAGGCAGATTCTTTACCACTAGCATCACCTGGGAAGCCCCTAAAGTTATTATAAACATGTTCAAAGAAATAAAGGAAAGTATGCTTTGAAAAGTTTAATGTATACATATATACAATGACTACAGCAAATATCAACAAAGAAATGTAAAACATTAAAAAGAACCAAAGGGAAATTTTGGAATTGAAAAGTATAACTGAAATGAAAAATTCACTATATGGTCTGAAGAGGAAAATCAATATTACATAAAGAATCAATAAAATTGAAGACAAAATAAGTTATCCAATCTGAAGAACAGAGGGAAAAAAATGAATAGAGCACTGGAGACGTGTACACATCAAATACATGAGGATGCACACAATGCAGGTCCCACAAAAGTTACAGGAAAAAAGTTAGAAAAAATAATGGCTGAAAACTTCCCAAATTTCATGGAACATTTATCTAGAGATCAAAAACACTCAACAACCCAAATTAGGTAAGTATAAAAAGATTCCCAACTTAGATATAGCATAATGAACTGATGAAAACCAAAGACAAAGAGAAAATCGTGAAAGCAGCAAAAAGAAAATGACTTGTTACCTACAGAATAGTCTTTTCAACAAATAGTATTGGGATAATTGCATAATCCATAGGACAAAAAGTGAAGTCAGAACTTTACCTTGTACCACACACAAATTGGATCATCAGTTCAGTTCAGTTCAGTCGCTCAGTCGTGTCTGACTCTTTGGGACCCCATTAATCACAGCACGCCAGGCCTCCCTGTCCATGACCAACTCCTGGAGCTTACTCAAACTCATGTCCATCGAGTCAGTGATGCCATCCAGCCATTTCATCCTCTGTCGTCCCCTTCTCCTACTGCCCCCAATCCCTCCCAGCATCAGGGTCTTTTCAAATGAGTCAACTCTTCGCATGAGGTGGCCAAAGTACTGGAGTTTCAGCTTCAGCATCAGTNCAGTCTGTTGTTCCATGTCCAGTTCTAACTGTTGCTTCCTGACCTGCATATAGGTTTCCCAAGAGGCAGGTCAGATGGTCTGGTACGCCCATCTCTTTCAGAATTTTCCAGTTTTATTGTGATCCACACAGTCAAAGGCACTGGCATAGTCAACAAAGCAGAAACAGATGTTTTTCTGGAATTCTCTTTCTTTTTTGATGATCCAGCGGATGTTGGCAATTTGATCTCTGGTTCTTCTGCCTTTTCTAAAACCAGCTTGAACATCTGGAAGTTCACGGTTCATGTATTGCTGAAGCCTGGCTTGGAGAATTTTGAGCATTACTTTACTAGCGTGTGAGATGAGTGAAATTGTGCGGTAGTTTGAACATTCTTTGGCATTGCCTTTCTTAGGGATTGGAATGAAAACTGACCTTTTCCAGTCCTGTGGCCACTGCTGAGTTTTCCAAATTTGCTGGCATATTGAGTGCAGCACTTTAACAGCATCATCTTTCATGAGACACAACTATATTATAAGCTAAAATCGTAAC